TCTAAATTCTTTAAAAAAAAAATCATCAAATAGTCTTCTGTAAATGTCTTAGTTAATAGATCGGAATGTCCTCAATGACATTTTTCAATAATCAAAACCGCTGTTATTAACTCTATAAATGAGTTTGTTTCGATTAAAAAACTGTTTTTGATGGTTTTTGATGATTTTTTGTACCCTTTTGTCAGTTTTGTGGCATATGGGTACATATCAGAGCGCTGGAGCTGCAGAGCCAGCTCTCTGACCTCTTTTGTTTTTTTGAGATATAAAATAAGTGCCTAATGTGTACGCAATTTCGTGCTCACTTCCAGAAACGTGAGGTCTGTACCTACAAATTAAACACTTGTCTTTTTTTTGAAATTCTTTTCAAAAAAATTCACCAAATAATCTTCTCGAAAGGTCTTGGTTGATAGATTGGAATCTCCTCTATGACACTTTTCAGAGATCTAAACAGCTCTTGTTAACACGCTTATTGAGTTTGCTCAAATTGAAAAAATTGTGTTTGATGGTTTTTGATGATTTTTTGTTCCATTTTGTCAGTTGTTTGGCATATGGGTGCATGTCAGTGCGCTTGACACTTAGACCCGGGCCCTCTGACTTCTTTTACTTTTTTGAATTTCAAAATAAGCTCCTCGTGTGCGCAATTTTACGCCTATTTCCAGAAACGTGAGGTCTGTGCCTACAAATTAAACAGTTGTTTTTTTTTTTCAAATTCTTTCTAAAAAAACTCCTATATTAACCTTCTCTAAATGTCATAGTTGATAGATTAGAATGTCATCTATGACACTTTAAGTATTATGAACCGACCTCGCTGTCTCTATAATTGAGATTGTTTTAATTAGAAAACTGTTTTTGGTGGTTTTCGATGATTTTTTGTACCCTTTTGTCAGATTTTCTGGCATATGGTACAAGTCAGATCGCTGGACCCTTAGAGTCAGCCTTCTTACCTCTTTTATTTGATTGAGTTTCAAAGTGAGTGCCTAATGTGTGGGTCATTTAATGTCTATTTCCAGAAACGTGAGGTCTGTACCTACAAACTAAACACTTTTTTTGGAATTTTTATTAAAAAAAACTCACCAAACAATCTTCTCGAAATGTCTTGGTTGATAGATTGGATTCTCTTCTATGACACCTTTTAAAAATATAAAACCCCACTTGTTATCTCCCTAATTGAGTTTGTTTAAATTAGAAAAACTGTTTTTGATGGTTTTTGATGATTTTTTTTGTACCCTTTTGTTAGTTGTCTAGCATATGGGTGCAAGTCAGAGCGCTTGACTTTTAGAGCCAGTCCACTGACCTCTTTTAACTTTTTTTGATTTTCAAAATAAGCGCCTAATGTGCGCGCAATTTTACGCCTAATTCCAGAAACATGAAGTCTGTACCTACAAAATAAACAATTGTTTTTATTAAAACTCTTTAAAAGAAAAAATCATCAAAAAGTCTTCTCTAAATGTTTTGGTTGATAGATCAGACTCATTTCTATGACACTTTTCAAAATTAGTTACCGTTCTTGTTAACTCCTTGTTTGAATTTGTTTCAACTAGAAAACTGTTTTTGATGGTTTTTGATGATTTTTTTGTACCATTCTGTCAGATTTTCTGGCATATGGGCACAAGTCAGAGCTCTAGACCTTTAGAGCCAGCCCTCTGATCTCTCTTGTTTCAAGTTTCGAAAAAAGTGACTAATGTGCGAGTCATTTTGCGCCTACTTCCAGAAACGTGAGGTCTGTACCTACTAATACACACTTGTTTTTTTTAGAATTTCATTTCCAAAAAAAATTTTCTCTTTAACTCTTGGTTCATAGATCGGAATCTCCTCTATGACACTTTTCATCAAAAAAAATTGTCGTTAACTCCCTTATTGAGTTTCTTTCAACTAGAAAACTGTTTTTGATGATTTTTTGTACCCTTTTGTCAGATTTTCTGGCATATGCGCACAGGTCAGAGCTCTGGACCTTTAGAGCCAGTCCTCTGACCTCTTTTATCTTTTTTTTTGAATTTCAAAAAAAGCGTCTAATTAACGCGCAATCTTACGCCTATTTCCAGAAACATGAGATCTGTACCTACAAATTAAACAATTGTTTTTTTTTAAACTCTTTTAAAGAAAAAAATCATCAAAAAGTCTTCTCTAAATGTTTTTGTTGATAGACCGGGCTCATTTCTATGACACTTTTCAAATTTAGTTACCGTTCTTGTTAACTCCGTAATTGAGTTTTTTTTTCAACTAGAAAACAGTTTTTGATGGTTTTTGATGATTTTTTGTACCCTTTTGTCAGCTTTTCTGGCATATGCGCACAAGTCAGAGCTCTGGACTTTTAGAGCCAGCCTTCTTACCTCTTTTATTTGATTGAGTTTCAAAGTGAGTGCCTAATGTGTGGGTCATTTAATGTCTATTTCCAGAAACGTGAGGTCTGTACCTACAAACTAAACACTTTTTTTGGAATTTTTATTAAAAAAAACTCACCAAACAATCTTCTCGAAATGTCTTGGTTGATAGATTGGATTCTCTTCTATGACACTTTTCAAAAATATAAACCGCCCTTATTATCTCCCTAATTATCTCCCATGTTTTAAATAAAAGAACTGTTTTACTTTTTTTGAATTTCAAAATAAGCGCCTTGTGTGCGCAATTTTACGCCTATTTCCAGAAACGAGAGGTCTGTGCCTACAAATTAAACAGTTGTTTTTTTCAAATTCTTTTTAAAAATTCATAAATTAACCTCCTCTAAATGTCTTAGTTGGTAGATTGGAATGTCCTCTATGACACTCTTAGTTTTATGAACCAACATTGTTTTCTCTTTTTTTCTCTATAATGGAGTTTGTTTCAATTAGAAAACTGTTTTTGGTGGTTTTTAATGATTTTTTGTACCCTTCAGATTTTCTGGCATATGGGACATGTCAGATCGCTGGACCTTTACAGCCAGTCCTCTGACCTCATTTATGTTTTTTTGAATTTCAAAATAAGCGCCTTGTCTGCGCAATTTTACGCCTATTTCCAAAACGTGAGGTCTGTGCCTACAAATTAAACACTTGTCTTTTTTTTAAATTTCTTTTCAAAAATTTCACCAAATACTCTTCTCGAAATGTCTTAGTTGATAGATTGGAATCTCTATGACGCTTTTCAAAAATCTAAACAGCTCTTGTTAAGTCCCTTATTGAGTTTGCTTAAATTGAAAAAATTGTGTTTGATGGTTTTTGATGATTTTTTGTGCCATTTTGTCAGTTCTTTGGCATATGGTTGCATGTCAGTGCGCTTGACCCTTAGACCCGGGCCCTCTGACCTCTTTTACTTTTTTTGAATTTCAAAATAAGCGCCTTGTGTGCGCAATTTTACGCCTATTTCCAGAAACGTGAGGTCTGTGCCTACAAATTAAACAGTTTTTTTTTTTCAAATTCTTTTTCAAAAAATCATAAATTAACCTCCTCTAAATGTCTTAGTTGGTAGATTGGAATGTCTTCTATGACACTCTTAGTTTTTTTTATGAACCAACATTGTTTTCTCTTTTTTTCTCTATAATGGAGTTTGTTTCAATTAGAAAACTGTTTTTGGTGGTTTTTAATGATTTTTTGTACCCTTTTGTCAGATTTTCTGGCATATGGGACATGTCAGATCGCTGGACCTTTACAGCCAGTCCTCTGACCTCATTTATATTTTTTTGAATTTCAAAATAAGCGCCTTGTGTGCGCAATTTTACGCCTATTTCCAGAAACGTGAGGTCTGTGCCTACAAATTAAACAGTTGTTTTTTTTTCAAGTTCTTTCTAAAAAAACTCCTAAATTAACCTTCTCTAAATGTCTTAGTTGGTAGATTAGAATGTCCTCTATGTCACTCTAATTATTATGAACCGACCTTGTTGTCTCTATAATTGAGATTGTTTTAATTAGAAAACTATTTTTGGTGGTTTTTGATGATTTTTTGTACCCTTTTGTCAGATTTTCTGGCATATGGGACATGTCAGATCGCTGAACCTGTAGAGTCAACCTTCTTACTTCTCTTATTTGATTGAGTTTCAAAATAAGTGCCTAATGTGTGGGTCATTTAGCGCCTTTTTCCAGAAACGTGAGGTCTGTACCTACAAACTAAACATTTTTTTTGAAATTCTTATTTAAAAAAATTCACCAAACAATCTTCTCGAAATGTCTTGGCTGATAGATTGATTCTCCTCTATGAAACTTTTCAAAAATATAAACCGCTGTTATTATCTCCCTAATTGTGTGGGTCATTTAGAGCCTTTTTCCAGAAACGTGAGGTCTGTGCCTACAAACTAAACATTTTTTTTGAAATTCTTATTTAAAAAAATTCACCAAACAATCTTCTCGAAATGTCTTGGCTGATAGATTGGATTCTCCTCTATGACACTTTTCAAAAATATAAACCGCCCTTATTATCTCCCTAATTATCTCCCATGTTTTAAATAAAAGAACTGTTTTTGATAGTTTTTGATGATTTTTTGAACCCTTTTGTCAGCTGTCTGTCATATGGGTGCATGTCAGAGCGCTTGACCTTCAGAGCCAGTCCCCTGATTTATTTTAACTTTTTTTGATTTTCAAAATAAGCGCTTAATGTGCGCGCAATTTTACGCCTATTTCCAGAAACATGAGGTCTGTACCTAGAAACTAAACAATTGTTTTTTTTTTTGAAATTCAATTAAAAAAAATTCATCACAAAGTCTTCTCTGAATGTTTTGGTTGATATATCGGGATCATTTCTATGACAATTTTTAAAATTAGATACCGTTCTTGTTAACTCCTTAATTGAGTTTGTTTCAACTAGAAAACCGTTTTTGATGGTTTTTGGTGATTTTTTTTGTACCAATCTGTCAGATTTTCTGGCATATGGGCACAGGTCAGAGCTCTGGACCTTTAGAGCCAGCCCTTTGACCTCTTTTGTTTCAAGTTTTGAAATAAGTGCCTAATGTGCGAGTCATTTTGCGCCTATTTCCATAAACGTGATGTCTGTACCTACTAATAAACACTTGTTTTTTTTTTGCTTTTAGCCTAATTGTTGTGATAAACTTATTAAATAGTTTCAGACCAACAGTACGTACGCGGAGCCGCCGTGGTGGCCCCGATAATCATTCGACTGATACTAGTGACACAACATCTGCCTTTTGGGCCTCGGAAGGCTGCTCACGACCATCAGGTGACGTAAGCTGGATACAATGCGACAACTGTGACACATGGTTACACAGTGATTATGTTGGAGTGACCAAAAAAGCAGCCCTCAACATCGATTTCATATGTGACAACTGCAAAATTGAACTCAACCGAAGCCGCAGACAAATATGCCCTGACTGCAACCGACTCGTCACGGTTAAGGCAAACAAGCAGTTCCACACACATGGTCCCATAAACAACCGATATCCAGGCACCGGAAAGAACACTACTCGCGATACAGACAAACGACATGAGTTAGATTTTGAAAATTTTCAAACAACTCAATTTATTGATTTGTTAACTAATTTATTATGTCCCACAGTTAAATTTGTCCCTAAATTCGCACGTGTCAACTTTGCCTCCACGTTTGCTGAATGCATCAAAGAGGAGGTTACTACCCCGGAAAGCAAGGAAGCATGGGGTCGCTATCTGATCATGCCCTCTTGCTGCCTCCGCAAACCTACACGCGCAGGTAAGAAGGTCAGAGCCTCACTTGGAAGCACCATACAGCAACAGATAAATGCTTTCAACAGGGGTGAGTACACTTTGCCTTCTCCAGTCTCGCAGAAACCAGCAAGCTCTGGTAACAACGACAACTCCAAACTGATTGCTGCCAAACTTGACGAAGGAGATATCAAGGGAGCTGTCAGGTTGGCAGCCAGCGACGATACTTTCTTGCCACAGACTCTTGAGAACAAAACACTGCTCGACGCGAAACACCCTCTTGCACCCGCAGACAAAGCTACATCCCCATCCAACGACTGTGTTCAACTTCAAGTTAGTCAGTCTGAAGTCAGGAGAGCGGTCATGTCTTTTAACGCAGGTAGTGCTGTTGGACCGACGGGCCTCAGACCACAACACGTGAAAGACGCACTTTCGCCATCTGCTAACGAAGCTGGCAACAACCTGCTCTCGCATCTGACAGACTACACAAATTTATTGTTGACAGGCAGCATCCCTGCGTTCATCAGGCCTGTCGTTTCCAGTGCTACACTCATCTCTTTGGCCAAGAAATGTGGCGGAATACGCTCGATCGCGATTGGAGACACTTTGCGAAGACTCACTTCCAAATGCATTTCACGGCGCATGCTGGAATAACTCAAAGATTATTTTTGGCCATTTCAGCTAGGAGTTGGTGTTAAACACGGAAGGGAGGCGGTGGCCCATGTAGCGCGCGATTTCATTGAATGCGCAGAACGTGATCAAGCCTTTGTCAAAATTGACTTTGCCAACGCCTTCAACAGTGTAAGACGTGATGTCATTTTGAAAGCCATCAATGAACACGCCCCGGAGATCCTTAGCTTTGTGAAACTCTGCTACGAAGACAGCAGTTTCTTGATATATGGTGCCTTCACCACCAAATTAACAGAAGGGTTTCAGCAAGGCGACCCCTTGGCTACGTTTGGCTTTTGTCTTGTCCTACATCCTGCTTTGCAGAAACTCTTGAGCAAGCTGAAAACTGGATACCTGGATGACGTTGCTTTTGCTGATGAATGGCGCACCACTCTCCTTGATCTTCTGAGTATCAAACAAGCATGTGAGAAACTTGGTCTTCTTTTGAATGAGAAGAAATGCGAGGTGACAAATTTTGGGAGCAGTAAAAAGGAGATAGAAAGAGCTTTTCGTGAGACATTACCCACTATTCAAGGCGTTGATGCCGAAGACAGCAGACTTCTTGGGAATGGTCTAGGCACTCGGTCGATTCGAGCAGAGTTAGTGGACAAACTTGCGAAACTCAAGACACTCCTGCAGCGAACAGCTTCTTTACCATGTCAAACAGTTTTTTTCTCATTAAAAATTGTTTCTTTGTCCCTAAATTTAGTATGTCCTCCGCGATAATCCTGCCTTTAAACACACAGATTTACTCAACGAAATCGACACACTTGTACGTCTTGAACTTGAGACAATCTTCAACTGTATCATTTCCGGTGTTTCTTTCAGTCAAATTTGCTTGCCCACGAAACAAGGAGGGTTTGGTCTTTCAAACACCAGCACTCTCAGCTCATCGGCATTTATTGCTTGTTTTGTTTCCACTGAAAATTTACGGCACTGCCTTGCTCCTGAGATAAGCAATCCTGGTCTTTTTAACGAAGCCGTCGACCACTGGGAGTCTCTCAGCAACCAACGATTTGAAGACTTAACCCCCCAGTGCGCTCAAAAATTTTGGACGAAACCTATCTACGAACAACAATCCGCAAACATTTTGAGCAATTGCACCGAAGAAAACTCACTTGCTCCTTATCTTCCTTCTCGTCCGCTGGGTCTGACTTTGTTCGATGATGAGTTCCATATTTCAGCTGGTCTGCGTCTAGGAGCCTCACTAACCGCACAACACACGTGCAAATGTGGCTATGTCGCAGCAACAGACGGAAGACACGCACTTGTCTGCCCGAATATCAAGCACAGGTTCATCGGACACTCGAATTGCAACATGATCATTAAAGATTCTATAAAATCACTCGGCATCAGTTCCACACTAGAACCTATCGGGCTGCTACGCAAAGATGGACGCAGACCAGATGGACGCACACAAATGCCATGGTAGCGAGGACGGACCTTGGCATGGAATTTCACATGTATAAGTCGTTTGGCAAACTCTAATCTGCGAATGGGAGTTCTTCCGGGTGCCAATGCAGCTTCCGAGGCCGAAGTCCGCAAAAGAAACGACTATTCAGACCTGCCTTCCACTGTAATTTTCGAACCCGTTGCCATGGAAACACTGGGTGGCGCTGGTAGGTCTACTGCAAGTTTCTTGAAAGAACTTGCAAGGCGAATAACAGTCTTAACAGGTGAGAAACTAACTTTTCATTTTAACTCCCTAATTGAGTTTCTTTCAATTAGAAAACTGTATTTGATGATTTTTTTGTACCCTTTTGTCAGATTTCCTGGCATATGCGCACAGGTTAGAGCTCTGGACCTTTAAAGCCAGTCCTCTGACCTCTTTTACCTTTTTTTTGAGTATCAAAATAAGCGCCTAATGTGTGCGAGATTTTACGCCTATTTCCAGAAACAGGTCTTTACCTACAAATTAAACAATTGTTTTTTCGTGAAACTTTTAAAAAAAAAAGTTCATCAAAAAGTCTTCTCTAAATGTCTTGGTTGATAGATCGGAATCATTTCTATGACACTTTTCAATATTAGATAATGTTCTTGTTAACTCCCTAATTGAGTTTGTTTCAACTAGAAAACTGTTTTTGATGGCTTGTGATGAATTTTTTGTACCATTCTGTCAGATATTCTGGCATATGGTCACACAGGTCAGAGCTCTGGACCTTTAGAGCCAGCACTCTGACTTCTTTTTTTCAAGTTTCGAAATAAGTGCCTAATGTGCGAGTCATTTTGCGCCTACTTCCGGAAATGTGAGGTCTGTACCTACCAATAAACACTTGTTATTTTTAGAATTTCATTTCAAAAAAAAACATCAAAAAATCTTCTCTTTTTGTCTTGGTTGATAGATCGGAATCTCCTCTATGTGCCATTCTGCCAGATGACACAGCACAACCTTCCGGCGACATAAAAAAGTGTGACTAAAGGCCTTATGAACAAAAAAGTGTTGCGACGGAGGGTCAGAATGTTCTAGAATTTTTATTTTTAAAATTTCGATTGGAAGAAGAACATTTCTGAGAAATAGAGAAAAGACGGCCATTTTGAATAAAAAAGACGAAAATCAGAACCACGATAGAGATTGTGAAGAACAGTTGTATCAGAGACAGAAAAACAAGGAGCCTCTTATCGTGGCAAAAACACACGATAAGGACCTTAGCGACAGATATTTGTGGAGACGGAGGCTTCAGTGGGGGGAAGAGAAATACCACGGAACCCTCCCGGGACACGAAATATAGGAGATAAGAGTGTTATCTCAAGAAAATCACGGGAGCGGAGGCTTGGTCCCCCAGAGACTGTTATATGTGAAGGGACTGGGTAAACTGACTATAACAGCTGCTGTAATGTCCTAGATCTTAATTAACACCGTTATTATTTAATATTTCAGAGCATGAGTAGATAGAAAAGGGAAAGGGTCAATCCATCTCCAATGGATTTAATATAAAACTGTCACACAAAAACATAATAAAATAGGTTGTTCGAGCCGTGTTTTTAATGACAATCACGTAGTCTGAGGATCCGAGACTCAGCTATGTGGTTGTGTTCGCATGTAAACGAAAGCTGATCAAAAGTCGTTTGACTGATGGCCTAAAAATGGTAACTTTTTACTTTGCCCTAGACAGACCAGAAAATCAACTGGCAAGGTCGAGACGGTGAAAAACGAGTAGAATTAAGGTAACTGACGCCTGCCAGTCGTTAATAGGTACTTTTTCTAAGCTCCGTCGCTGTGTGATATTTGGGCGAATGTTACACTATGACACTTTTCATTAATAGAAACAGCTGTTGTTAACTCCCTAATTGAGTTTCTTTCTCCTAGAAAACTGTTTTTGATGATTTTTTGTATCCTTTTTTCAGATTTTCTGGCATATTTGTACATAACAGAGAGCTGGACCTTTAGAGCCAGCTCTCTGATCTCTTTTACCTTTTTTTGAGTTTCAAAATAAGCGCCTAATGTGTGCGCAATTTTACGCCTATTTCCAGAAACAGGTCTTTACCTACAAATTAAACAATTGTTTTATCGTGAAACTTTTTTTTTTTGAAAATTCATCAAAAAGTCTTCTCTAAATGTCTTGGTTGATAGATCGGAATCTCCTCTATGACACTTGTCATTAATAGAAACAGCTGTTGTTAACTCCCTAATTGAGTTTCTTTCACCTAGAAATCTGTTTTTGATGATTTTTTGTACCGTTTTGTCAGATTTTCTGGCATATTTCTACATAACAGCGCTCTCTGACCTCTTTTATTTTTTTGAGTTTCAAAATAGG